TTCACGATTTCTGCGATTTTCTGTTTCCGCCGCACATGAGGCGGGCTGTAAGAGTCGCTCTCGAGACGCTTCCTCCGACATGTGTTTATTACAGTCTGACGCACCAGGAATCCTGGAGAGAGTAAGAGAATGACAAAATCAGATATATCAGATATGAGCACAACCACATACACACACACACACACACACACACACACACACACACAAAGACACAGACAGTGTCACAGTGACTTGTTCACTCTTGACTTATTTCACTTACTAACAAACACCTGAGTGGTCTCTGGTTTTAAACACGTTGCAGCTTGTTCTCACCATATAAATGTATATGTACATACACCGCAGACCGTAAGCACAGAGTCTCCAAAATCCTGCTTTCTCTTGCTATTATTGTGCACTTCCTCAGTAAAATGTTCAGCTCTGACTAGTTCTCAGCCTTTGATCCACAATAGCCTCCTGTTTTCTTACAGTTTCAGTCTTTTTATATGTAACTCGCTCACGTCTACTCCTCCTCCTCTCCTAAAATTAAACAAAGTGAGAAAATTGCTGCTTTGCCTCAAGTTAAAAAGAAAATGAAAGACACTCTCTCCCTCTTTGTATTTATGTGAAGATATTCTGTGTGTATCTTCTCTTCAGGTAACCTTGGCTCTCAGCTGGTTGAATATAAAGAGGAGATGTACATCACCTCAGACTGTGGCAAGACCTGGAGACAGGTGAGAATGAACACAGAAAAGACACTAATGATCTGCAGACTTGTTTTACAATGACTTTTTGGTGTCAGAAAAATGCTTCATTATAGCTTCTTCTGTGGCTTGTCACAACTCTTTCGGTTTGCGCTTTGTATTTAACACCCACCTTTCCAAACAGACTTGGTTTCGGTTTGCTCATTGAATTCAGATCTCTGTTCCTCTTGTTCCCATTCTGCCCAATTTCATTTGACACCCTCTCTTTTGCTGCCGTTTCAGAACTCACTATGTGGCAGACTTATTTCTCTGCCACATAGTGAGCTGCCTCTCATTTGCTCAGCTCTATTTTTCTCAAATGACATTACATTTTGATTGACAATTATGAAGATGAACTTAAAATGCCTTCAAGAACTTATTTCATTTGCTTACTGTAGGTTTTTGAAGAAGAGCATCACATTCTTTATCTGGATCATGGCGGTGTCATTGTGGCCATTAAGGACACCTCAATCCCTTTAAAAATACTCAAGTAAGATACATTTTTTTTCTTCTGTAATGTAATGTCTGGACATCATTTCTAAGCATTTAAACTCAAAAGCTCAAATAAACACAAATGTACCCAGTGGCTGACATGACCCAGACTGACAGAAGAACTTATAAAAAGGAGAAACGTCTCGGTTACGTATGGTAACCCTCGGTTTGCGCTTTGTATTTAACACCCACCTTTCCAAACAGACTTGGTTTCGGTTTGCTCATTGAATTCAGATCTCTGTTCCTCTTGTTCCCATTCTGCCCAATTTCATTTGACACCCTCTCTTTTGCTGCCGTTTCAGAACTCACTATGTGGCAGACTTATTTCTCTGCCACATAGTGAGCTGCCTCTCATTTGCTCAGCTCTATTTTTCTCAAATGACATTACATTTTGATTGACAATTATGAAGATGAACTTAAAATGCCTTCAAGAACTTATTTCATTTGCCCACTGTAGGTTTTTGAAGAAGAGCATCACATTCTTTATCTGGATCATGGCGGTGTCATTGTGGCCATTAAGGACACCTCAATCCCTTTAAAAATACTCAAGTAAGATCAATTTTTTTTCTTCTGTAATGTAATGTCTGGACATAATTTCTAAGCATTTAAACTCAAAAGCTCAAATAAACACAAATGTACCCAGTGGCTGACATGACACAGACTGACAGAAGAACTTATAAAAAGGAGAAACTGATTAGTAAACACTGTAAACAGGGTCAGGCTAGTATGAAAAACAGGAATTCAAGACTTTCCCTCCCTGGCTTTTTGCTGACCTAGTTGTGCTGATAATCCTTTGAGTGAGAGCTTTAAGAAGCTCATTTAGCTCTTCAGACCACCCTGAGTTCCCGAGCAGCCTAAATCTCTTCCTTCGCACTCAGACAACTCTTTACCCTTGTAATATGAAGTGATTCACATACTAGATATCAAGTTCACCTTGCTTCACAAATGTGCGTAAAGAGGAGACCTATGAAGATCAAAGAGAAAATCATTACTATCTCACACATAAGCCTTGAAGCCTTTCATCGGGCATTGAGTCTTGTCAGTACAAACACTGCTTCTGTCAGGGTAAAACTAAGAACTTGTAGTGCTTATGCTGGCTTGTAGCCTACAAACTCTCATGTTCACACTGTGAGATTCAACGCCAATGGAGTGATTTTTCAGCTAACAGTATGTTCAGAATTTTTATAAAGAGAGAAATGAATGATGTATCACATATATAATTAACTTTAGAAGATTTTTTGAAAGGTGTAAACTGGGTTTCACGTTCGGTTAACTAAGATACAAATGTCTTCACTCAAAGCAGAGACTTATAATAGGTCATATAATATTATATACAACTTTGTTTTCCTTATGTGTACTGCTAATAACAACACATGTTTTGGCTTAGATTCAGCATAGATGAAGGACAATCGGTGATTTTTCAGCTAACAGTATGTTCAGAATTTTTATAAAGAGAGAAATTAATGATGTATCACATATATAATTAACTTTAGAATATTTTTTGAAATGTGTAAACTGGGTTTCACGTTCGGTTAACTAAGATACAAATGTCTTCACTCAAAGCAGAGACTTATAATAGGTCATATGATATTATATACAACTTTGTTTTCCTTATGTGTACTGCTAATAACAACACATGTTTTGGCTTAGATTCAGCATAAATGAAGGACAATCGTGGAGCATCCACAACTTCACCAGCACTTCTGTGTTTGTGGATGGACTTCTGAGCGAACCTGGAGATGAGACACTGGTTATGACGTGAGTATGAGCCCTTTGAAAATTGAACAGGAGTTACTAGTCTACAAATGAAAACATGAAAATTTTGTCACCATTTACTCACCCTTATGTTGTTTCAAAACTTTTATGACTTACTTTCTTCTGTACGACAGAGAAAAAGTTGTACAGAAGAACTATCCATTTAAGACAATTGTAGGGCAATTTTATTATTTTGGAGTAATAGAAAATCACATTTTCTGAAAGATTAAGGCAAAGTATATTTTATTCTGTGCTTCCTGTGTTGGTTTTATGACCCTTAGTACATACAGTAATATAAACTTGCTTTTCCTTTCTTTCACTTATTTTGTTTGTGCTGTTTGAACATAATCCCGACCTGAAATGGTTATGAAAAATATTTTTTTCTTCCAATTGCATTTTGCTATCAGGCCTTTAGTCCATCATTGTATCATTGAATATTCATTGTAGAAGTGCATTTATAAAATTGGACACAGACCATACTTATGGTAAAACAAAATGTCAAATTTTTCTTATCTCAACTATGAGTGCAATGCCGGATGATCAAAGCATTTTTAATTGTTCGTGACACTCGTGCACTGAATTCTACAAAATACAGATACAGGGTTCCACCTTGTGGCGGTGAACAGTGCTTTATTTGAGATGAAGTAGAGAGCATCTTCCCATAGACCCCAAACAGCAGGTGGTCTCTGTATTATAAAGAGGCTGCCCTTTTGATAAAGGCAATGTGAAATTCAAAGGCCTCAATTAAAGAGGCCCCCGCTCATTAGTAAAGCACGTTCATGTGTCTGTCCACTCGCTTGTTCCGTTCCCAAGATGCATAATTGGATAGACAATGTGTTGTGACTTGAAATCAAAGTTACACTCTGATAGTCTCGCTTTTCAGTGAAAGGAATGAATGGCTTTTGTCTCAACATTTACGGATTGAGGGAAAATGGGATGTTTATGGATGGAGGGATGCATTAATGGACAGACGAAGGCTTATGTTTATGGATGTTTACTGTTGTGGACAGGGTATTTGGCCACATAAGTTACCGTTCGGATTGGGAGCTGGTGAAGGTGGATTTCCGACAGTCATTTCCCAGACAGTGCACAGAAGCTGATTATGACTCCTGGAAACTCACTGACCTACAGGTAACATCAGGCTGTTTTTCTGACCTCCTACTCAGCAGTAGAGTTACAGCATGTTAAAAAAAACAATAAGAAAGAAGATATAAAGATTATTTAAACAAAACTAAATACTACTACTAATACCACTAATACTCTTATGGAAATACATTTTCATTTATGTTGTGAATCAATTTACTATTCAAATGGAAACAAGTTTTCTCCCACAGGGAGAGAAATGCATCATGGGCCAGGAACGAATGTACAGGAGGAGGAAAGAGTCATCGTTTTGCATTAAAGGGAAGAGCTATACATCAGCTTTAACAGCTAAACCTTGCCAGTGCACAGAGAAAGACTTTGCCTGGTATGAAACAGAGAGATAACCTTTGCACATTTCAGGCCATTTGCAATTATACACAGATGTCTTTGCTGTAACAGACACTCTTTACTTCACTTTCACACCCCAGTGCAGTGCACTGTGAATTAGATCAGGGGCTAAAAATAGAGCTTTACGTCTCTCTGTGTGTTCTCAGTGACTACGGCTTTGAGCGTGCTCCCAGCCTCAGGTTAGAGGGGGATCGCTGTTATCCTGATTTCTGGCATGATCCTGACGCTCCACCTGAAAACTGCCATTTAGGACACAGCTACAAGTCCAGCACAGGGTAATACACTCACACACACTGCTGAACATTAGGAAATGCAGGGCATAATCACCACACTTACTGAATGTGTCAGTTTTTACACTGATCAAGCACAGTAAATGACACTACAGAAAACACCCACTCATGCATATACAGTAATAGACACTTTAGATTAAAATGCAAAGCTTTTGAAAGGCAGATCAAATCAGTACCATGTCCACGTGTCTTTTGAAATCAGATCTTTTTTGCAATGCGTCTTAGTCTAAATGGTCAGATCATATTTCAAGTACTAGTTTCACTGTTCTGGTCACATCACACATGTAATGTCAGTACACAATAATACCTGTAGCTGTGTCCAGATACACTCATTTTGTCCCATATTCACTTGTTAAGTTGTGAGGTATCGAGTACTGTTGCTGGATACAAACTTCCACTCCTTTCCAAGTGAGAATAATATCTCAACATCCGTTTATAAGCACTATTCATTTATAACACATATATAGCTAAGTTTTTCATGGTGTACGCTATAGTCTTCAGGCTCTTGAGGACGATGAAGATCTCGATGAAGATACGCTCCACCTGAAAACTGCCATTTAGGACACAGCTACAAGTCCAGCACAGGGTAATACACTCACACACACTGCTGAACATTAGGAAATGCAGGGAATAATCACCACACTTACTGAATGTGTCAGTTTTTATACCGATCAAGCACAGTAAATGACACTACAGAAAACACCCACTCATGCATATACAGTAATAGACACTTTAGATTAAAATGCAAAGCTTTTGAAAGGCAGATCAAATCAGTACCATGTCCACGTGTCTTTTGAAATCAGATCTTTTTTGGAATGCGTCTTAGTCTAAATGGTCAGATCATATTTCAAGTACTAGTTTCACTGTTCTGGTCACATCACACATGTAATGTCAGTACACAATAATACCTGTAGCTGTGTCCAGATACACTCATTTTGTCCCATATTCACTTGTTAAGTTGTGAGGTATCGAGTACTGTTGCTGGATACAAACCTCCACTCCTTTCCAAGTGAGAATAATATCTCAACATCCGTTTATAAGCACTATTCATTTATAGCACATATATAGCTAAGTTTTTCATGGTGTACGCTATAGTCTTCAGGCTCTCTGTGACTCAGACACCAGTATTTTAACGATTCTGCATGGGAAGATGAAGCACTGTCAGGCCAACTGAGGTTCCGCTATGGAGATAAAAGTTAGGATCATGATTTTTCGGTAGTACTAATGTATATTACCACCATTCGTCATTTTCTTTTGGTTTCTGATAGAGCGATCGGACCCAGAAAATAGTGACACACCATGATGATCACTATGCAGTGCATAGTGAATGAGTGAACAAGTCAACAGTTTGCACGATTGTGTTACTTATTTTGTCTCATGCTTCATGAACACTGTGATGAACTTGAGCAGAGGCAAAATTTTCAGTTTTCAGTTCTCACTGACATTATTACTATAGCAACCAAAGCAGATAGACTGTATACAGGCTATAGTCTTCAGGCTCTCTGTGACTCAGACACCAGTATTTTAACGATTCTGCATGGGAAGATGAATCACTGTCAGGCCAACTGAGGTTCCGCTATGGAGATAAAAGTTAGGCTCGTGATTTTTCGGTAGTACTACTGTATATTACCACCATTCGTCATTTTCTTTTGGTTTCTGATAGAGCGATCGGACCCAGAAAATAGTGACACACCATGTCAACAACTGGATAGCAAACTATGTGATGATCACTATGCAGTGCATAGTGAATGAGTGAACAAGTCAACAGTTTGCACAATTGTGTTACTTATGTTGTCTCATGCTTCATGAACACTGTGATGAACTTGAGCTTGAGCAGTTTTCAGTTCTCACTGACATTATTACTATAGAAACCAAAGCAGATAGACTGTATACAGGAACAGATCAGATTTCATTGCTTCCAAAATATTAATCAAAAAGATTTTTAAAATAAAAAAAGGCCATACTGAGCTGTGTTAAGGAGAGCAGCAGACCCTCATTCAGAAAAACCTCAGCTGACAAAAAAAGTTGTTTGTTTATCAGTTTTTTTGAGACAATACCTTTCTGGACACATTATATACATGTTTTATGCACCTCTTAAAGCAAATGAAGAGTTCAGATGCAAAAGCCTCTAAGTACGTCTGACGTTTTTCTTTAAAATTAGCATTTCTTTCTGGCTACTATGCATAGGTTTCTATGTAAGTACTGGTACTTCTGAATGGGTTGAGGCTGGGATTTAGCGCATTTGAAGTGAAATACTTGATGAACATATACTATGTGTGGAGAGCATTCACTCAGTATCGTTATCTAATTTTTGACCAAGATGGCTTTTAGAGGCTTTTGCATTGGAACTCTTCAAATTATTATAGGTATTTAATTTTTCCATGACTCCAGGCCACAACATGACATGGATTTTCCAGTTTAAGGCAAATTAAAACAAGTCAAGGCTAACATGTCTTGTGTTGTCTGTTGTAGTTACCGGAAGGTCATCGCTAATGTTTGTGAGGGTGGCTTGAATAAAGAACAGAGCGCAAAGCAGCATTCTTGCCCTTTGCTGGCCCCTAAAGGCCTTCAGCTGGGCATCAAAGGACAGATGCTGGCCGTGGCACCTGGTGATGACATCACCTTTGTAGTCCATCAGGAACAGGTGAAATGCATGGATAATTTATACAACTTGCAGTTTCATAATTTGAATATTAAAATGTAAGAAAATTCTAAATAGAAAATGTAAAGATATATAGGCAAAGACAAATGTTTCACTAATTTGTAGACATCTTTAACTTTTATTTGTTTCATTGTACATCCCTCCTCAGGGTGACACCACCAGAACCAGATATCAGGTGGATTTAATGGACGGCGTCAGGGCTATATATGAAAACCTGACTGTCACAGATGAACCCATTCAGCACCGTTACGAGAAGCCAGGTGTTTACCGTGTCAATGTGAAGGCTGAAAACTCTGCTGGACATGACCAAGCCACACTTTACATCCAGGTCACAGGTCAGTAAAATCTTCAGAAATGAATCAGAGTCAAGTGAGTTCAAAGGCCGCTGCATAAAATTTTGGAACATAATGATTAGTATGATCTATAATACTGTGAGGTTGAAAGGTTTTTACTGAATCATAACTCAGAATCAGGCCCATGTGTAATCTGCACAAAGAAAGCTCAGATTTTACCGAATAATTATGGAAGTTGTACACATTCCTCACACTATATATGCTATTTTATCTCAAGATAGACTTAACATATTTTTTCCCTGGAACTCTCAATTTGTCTATTTTTCTGTTTTGATCCCACTTTCTCTCCAGCTCCTCTTCAAGATGTTCATCTGGAGGTGGTCCCAATCGCTGGCAGAAATCAAGAAGTAAATCTCACAGCTATAGTGCTGCCCACTGAGGCAAACCTTACAGTGTTTTACTGGTGGATTGGAGATAACCTTCAGGTACTCTGTGGTAATTAATAATATTCTATAAACAATATACTCATAATACATGGGTTTTAGGTACTGCCATAAATACTATTGCAGAAGCTCATGTTTTCTGTTTTATATTAGGTGTTTGTGTGCAGTATTAAAATGATTGTGCTGACTTTAAAACAAAATAGTAATGAGGGTATGTAATAAATTCATTGGCATTGAAAGATTATATGCATACTTACGTGTGATTGTAATGAGAAGTTTTAAGATTAATGGTCCATATAGTCCATATACAGCATGTGTAGTCTCATCCATGTAAAAAAAATTGAAGAAATTGACCTGGAATTAATTCGAGATGCTTATGCTTAAAGGTTCAGGTGTAGCCGTTAAAGTGATACCTTTACACTTACATAGACATGTATGATGTGTCTTTCCCCTCGACAGCCAAAGCTGACCCTGGAGAACAGTCTGATTGCAAGGTTCTCTGAGGAGGGGGAAGTTCCTGTGACGGTTCAGGCTTCTAATGGTCGATCCATGGTACAGGACAGCAAGACTGTCATTGTCTATGGTAATATCAAACACCCCTTGATACAGCATCAGGGGCGGACTGGCCATCTGAGCACCAGGAGTTTTCCCTGTGGGCCGGCTTGCTGCTACAGAAATATATATATATAAAGAATGAATGATAGTTACGTATCCTTCATATTCAGCCGAGGCGAATGGCCCGAATAGTCAAATTCTGTCATTTCAGTAATGAATCTCTTCTGTTCAATTCAATCATGCATATTTAGCATGTTCAGAGTGCATTGGTCCAACATCGTCAATGTTAAAGTGTTTGAGATGGCCAATCAAATCAAAGAAGGCAAGTTTACTGTTCACAGATTTTCGAGCAAGAATTCTAGCGTAATGCTTTTTAATGGTTGCAGAATGTGAGATAATACATATAAGCAGCTGAACATGACGAGGCCTAATCCAGCAATATAATCCAATAATCTGTTTTACAATAAAAATGGTAATTGACTGAAAATAATATCTAGGATATCCTTGGGCGAATTTCACCAATTTGAATATACATAAAGCTCAAAGTCAAAGAGTTATCATCCTCAGAACTGTTTTCTTTCAGAAAATATCAAGGTTCATTAACAGCAACCATTTTATTTTGGCTATGTCCATGACTGTGTTAAAAAAAGGAAGGAGAAATTCACCTAAAATGCAAACTGTCACCATTTATTTATTCACCCTTAAATCTTTCCAAAGCCATATGGCCCAATTTTTCATCATGGTTTCTGTGCTACTTTCAAAGTCTTCTCTGGATTTTCTATGGAAAAGGGCTGTGTAAAAATTCTTTCAAATTCTATTTGCCATGTAAACCAGGAAAGACAGATTATAACTTGAAGTGCAGCAGTCATCCATTAATGTTAATGAGAAGCACAAACGACCAGTTATTTCAATTAAATATTTTTAAATAGTATTTCGTTTTCTGTTGAGTTCTATTTTTATGTTAGCAAGTGGTGTTAAATTGCTCTGCACATCAGGAAGCCAGTGTGTTATGGTGCTTTAGTCCCTGCATGTACTGCATGAATAATCTGGGCCTTGTGACGACCACAGATTGTATATAATTAAACATCAGAGGAACACTGTCAATACTAAAGAGTTTCAAACTGATTGGGAACTAATGCCACAATCAGTGTATAGAGTTAATTTGTTTTGATCTGTGTTACATTTAAAACCAAACCTGAGGTCTAACCCTATTTCTTTCTTGTAATGAGAGTGTTAAATAGAACTGAAATATTCATGTGATTCCAGAGCTGGAATGAATATTTATGAGCGTGGTGTGATAGGGATGAGGTCATGCTTGGAAAGTAGAAATGACAGTCTCCCTCAGAGACAATGTTCAGCTTGAATGCAAAATGAACAACTGTTGTGCATAGACTCACTTCACTTATTTCATATTGTTTGTCCTCAAGCTAAAAGTAAACCTTTTGGTTACGCTATTTAATAATTTATTTTGGATGACTTGCCAACTTAAGTTTCTGTAGAGAAATGACTTGCCTGGAAGATTTGCATTTTTTATTTTTTTTTAGAAATCACATCTTTTGAACTGGTTATATGAGTCTTTTTTTTCTTCACATTTTTCAAGTCATTTGAAAGTTTTAAAGGTATATAGTTATACATTTAAATTCTCTTTATTTACCGTAATTAATCACCTTCATGTCATTCCAAACCCATATGCTTTGCTATAGTTAAAGGAGTAACAAGGTTTTGTGAGTGTGCGACTGATTGAAAGTCTTTGTCTACCTCACCTCTTGCCTCTTGTTGGGCAATAGCATCACCTCAAATAGTGAGGCTTTTGGTTTAACTAATACGAGTTAAATGATTATTAATTATTGTATTGTTTTTGTATTATCGTTGTATTATTATGCAATAGAGGTGTGAATCTCTCAGTAGTTTTTTTGCAACTGCAATATTAACTTTAATATGTTCATAATACCTTGTTTATAATACAGCGTCTCTCTTCAGATCAATTCCAGATCATCCCATTGAGTTTCAGTCGTAATTTAGATCGCTTTAACCCAAACATCCCTGAATGGAGACAAGATGTGGCACAAGTCGTAACCAAGATTCTCGCTAAGGTTCTCGTCTCAATCATTAACACACACACACACACACACACACACATTAGAGCTCTGTTTGTTTTATTATGCAAAACATATTAAATGTACTCATCATGGCGCACTCTGTGTCTGATAGCTCACGGGGGTTCCTCAGGACTCTTTGGTTACCATGGTGAAGCCCGGTCTTCCCACCACTGCAGACCTGTATGTTCTTCCTCAAGAGAGCACACCAGTGAAGAGGAGTGTGTTTGTGGATAAGGTAGATAATGAAGCCATCTGAGGCATGAGAAGAGATACATTCTTAGACAACAAAACATTATTCTAGCAAGAGAGTTGTTGATACGGTGACCTAAAATGAGGACATCCTCAAACAACTTGTTAGAACCTGAAGATACTATTTGCATCAGAAGTAAACATGATACACAGCAAATGGATAAGTTAGGGAATTCATTTCTTGCTTATGGCTTACCTTGATTACTAAGGCACAATGAAAGAAATGGTAATAATTAGCATATAATCATAAGAATATTTTGAAGTGATATTTGTTTAGCATTTAACTATCATGTTCTTGTGTGTGTGTTCTTCATGTGCGTAGCGTGTTCCCACCATAAAGCAGGTTCTGAGTGAGAACAACGTGAGCTTCATTGTGAGAGGAGGGTTAAGAGTATTGGTGACTCTGGCAGACTCGGATAGAGGTGAGCAAAATAAAACAGATTTCACCACCTGACAGACACACACATCTAGAATGTATGTCAGTGAGCCACTTAATGATTATAGTATTACAGCAAGCCCTTCATCAATAATTACTAAAACATAACCAATGTATTTCAAAGGACCTATAACTAGTGACGTGTCTGCCAGCACGACACAGACTGGTGCGTCACCTCGACCTCTTGCTTTTAGAAGTGTCATCTTTGTTCTTTAAGTATATTGAACTGCTCATACAGTGATAGAAATAATACTGCAATACTGTCTTCTGTTTCTGTCCTGTTTTTGATCTAGTTGTTATGTAGAGTTGACTTCATTTACTCTTCATATGTATGCTTCTGTTGGCTTGCATTTCTGTTTGGGTTTTGAGCTGTCAGTCACAGTGCTCTTTGGTCTGAATAACATGCGTGTTTGAGTTTTCTTTACTGTAAACATTTTATTTAAACTTCATTCGTTTTGTTTTTATTTTTCGTTTGTTTTGTAGTTGTTTGAAAGTTTCTTCTTTCACTGTTGTTTGTGTCACAGCCACACAAATGCCTTCAACCACACAAGGTGTGTACATTTGTGTGTGATCATTGTGTGTGATTTTGGTTCTGGTTTTAATTTGTTTTGTTGGTTTTTTAATTGTTTGGTAAGTTTACAAAGTTATCATTAGAGCATTGGTTCTGATTTTGGTTCTGGTTTTAATTTGTTTTGTTGGTTTTTTAATTGTTTGGTAAGTTTACAAAGTTATCATTAGAGCATTGGTTCTGATTTTGGTTCTGGTTTTAATTTGTTTTGTTGGTTTTTTAATTGTTTGGTAAGTTTACAAATAGTTATCATTATCATTGATAGTTAAAGGGTTCACCCAAAAATGAAAAAATGAGTAAACTATCCCTTTAATGATATACAGGTTAGCAGAATCAAAGTTTGTATGAAATTAATTGCAAATGGTTGCCAACCGTTTGATAATTATGATAAAGGAAGTATTAAACTGTGATGATCAGAGATGCTCCTCTTCTGCAGGCTCTGGTTTGGCTGCAGCAGGTCCAGGTGTTTGGGCTCTAGCTGTCTTTCTCCTCATCAGTCTGATCTCTGCTGCAGCATTCATACTCTTCAAATTTAAAAGGTTTGTCCTTTTCTCAGGTTTTGTTCTATTTATACTGCAATATTTCATGTTTTTAGGCTTCCCTGTCATTCCTGGGTGGCTTATTAGAAAAAAATGTTAATTACTCAACCTATTTCCAAATGAATAACATGCACAGCACACTCATTCTGTCTGAATTGCATGGTATTCACATGTATGCAGGAACCACAGATTTTCTTAGAAAAAACTGTAATCTTTTGATAATGCTATTGATATTCACTGTCCCGCCATACCCCATCACCGATGAATGCATGTTCAGTCCCCACATGTCTAATTGACAGCCAGATTATATAACAGAACATGAACTACAAAACTGTGACAGGAAAAACTACAAAAACCATGGTTCCTTGCTGAGGCCAGAGGAGAGCAGCCTAACGCGTCCCTGGCTGCGTTTCAGAAAACTGCCAGGACGAAACGTCTATGCCCAGATGCACAATGAGAAGGAGCAGGAAATGACCAGCCCTGTCAATCACAGTGAGGACACGCAGAATATCATTCAAGGCGAGGAGTTCATTGACGACGACCTTGACTCACAGACACTAGGTAACGCTGGAGGTAGAAGCCAATTCAGTTGCCCTAGACTAACCAGAAAAGAAAAGTTATGATCAGTCACTCTAACATCAGTTTACTACTAATTCAGAAATGGGGCCTATTATTTGATTTTTTAAATCACAATTTAGTTTGAGGACCAATTCTTACTATTAACTAACTATTAACTCTTGCTTTTGCCTCAGTAAACTCCTAATTTGCTGCTTATTAATAGTTAATAAGGTAGTCGTTAAGTTTATGTATGGAGTATGATTAAGGGATCTAAAATAAGGTCATACAGAATAAGGCATTAATATGTGCTTTATAAGAACTAATAAACAATCAATATGCTAGTAAGATGCATGCTAATAAGCAACTAGTTAATAGTGAGAATTGGTCCCTAAACTAAAGTGTTATCGATTTATTTTAACACTTTACAATTAAGGTTCAATTTGTTAATGCATGAGGTATCACAGACTAATTATGAACTATACTTTTATACAATTTATTATTATTTATTAAGTTTATGTTCATTTATATATATATATATATATTGTTCATTGTTAATTCATGTTCTCTCATAATATTTTAATGTTAAACTTAATTTAACTACCAAATTTAATAACGTTAATTTAACTTAATTTAATAACATATTTTTTTTATATTTACATCGAAATTAACATTACCCAAGATTAAAATAATGCTGTAAAATTGTTGTTGTTTAGTTGACAATTCTTAATGCATTGACTAATGTTTATTTAATTGAAATGTAACCTTATTTTAAAGTCTTATCGTTTATTTAATTGGGTCAAAGGGCACATAAAACTATTAAGCTTTTAATATTATTAACATTGTTTTATTTGTTCCACTTACTATTTTTTTATTTAAACATGGCTTTTAAATGACTTAAATGTCATCATTACTATTTACCTCATGAGTTGGTTAAAATGTCTACAATCCAAAAAGACAAAATTATAAAAATGCATTTAGAGCAATTTATAGGTATTATTATTAAGTGTCTACATTTTCTTCAATGTTACGTTGTACAACAACCTTGAGTGATTAAGAGCATTTTTTCACTTGCTGCCTTTACAAAACCTCCTTCTGCTTTTCTTGTTGCCAGGCAACCACTCAGGGGTGGTGTTGAGCATAAATTCAAGGGAGCTGCACAGTTATCTGACCAGCTGATGACCAATGTAAAGGTGCCAGAGATGAGCACAATAGACTATGCCTTCCTCCTCTCTCCAGATCTGACCCTTCAGACACCCTTACAGGAGAGAGATCAGACACACCTGCACCAAACCTTCTCCTCCTCTCTCTGTCTTCTGTTCCCCCAATCCAGGAGGTGGATTTTGTACCCATCTGCTGCACCCTGGCTTCACTGATGATCACATACGCTCACGTACATGTTCTTGTCTGTTGATCTTTGCACCCTGCAGTCTGTCTCATCCCTGTCCACCTTCTCTCTCATTTCTTCCCATTATTGCTCTTATCACAGGAGCATCAAATCAGCCCCACTTACTAATTCCCAGGGAGAAACTCATTGACAAATGCTTTATTTTCCATCTTGTGTTTGTTTTGTGCCTCTCCTGTGTTTTGTCTTTCAGTCTGAATAGTGTTTTGACTCTCTTAGGCCATGGAGGTGTTGTGGTCACTGTAAAACTCAGACTAGACGGATAGGTGAGTGAAAGCTGTGCAGATGTGGTGCAGTGCAGGATGCAATACACATTTCATTCAGGGGAAGCAATGTTTGTTAGATGTAGCCAAAGGGAAAACATTTAAGATATCCTGTCACCCTCTTTTTGTTTTGTATTGTAAATGTCTTTAAAAGAAATTTTAGTTGAACCCATCAATTTTCATATGCAATAACACATGACATCTTTACATCAGTAACTAAATCTATTCTTTTGCCCTGTTTCATGATTATGCTATGCAGTAAAGTCAAGTAATTTTTGTCTACGTCTGATGCTGCAATATCTCAGTGATGTTTTTCTTTTCCCGTTCCACATCAATATCTATGGTGCAATTAATAATGGTGGTGATGATGTAAAATGTATTAGCATTGATCACACTGACCCAAGAAATGCAAACAAGCGTGTTTATAGCAAGCAAATAATGTCGAAAAGGCAGGAGCAAAAGATGATATACCTTTCTTGCTACTGCCAAATCAGCACAGCTGGAACCTTCTTAGTGTTCCTGGAAAACCTGCACCAATTATCAGGATCGTCGCTTAAATTTACAAGGCCCGGGACGTCGTTTTGTGGGTGTCCTCACGATAAGGCCTGGGACATTGACTCTTTGCCCCTTGAGCCTTATTCCTGTCTGTTTTCTTCAAGAACTACATTGCCAAATTCTCATCTTTCAGATTATAGTCCATCTTCTAAAGTATCTTCACTGCATAATGAAACGATATCCCCTAGCGAATCAAATCCCATCATTCATCATGTCGAAATCCTTTGTGAAAGCTAGCTAAATTCATATGCTCGTTTATTTATTTTACTTTAGATTTCCTCACAAGCATCAGCCATTAGATCTTGATAGGGAGTCGACACAGGATGATCCCCAGCATAGCAAGTGCTACCTGTCAGGTGTAGTGTGTGTATAAGCCTATATTAGGTGTAGAAGGACACAGTTGCATTCCCTTTCGTTTGGCTTGTATTGTATATATAACAATGTGTAAATAGAACCTTCTGTATATAGACCCTCCTAAATATGACACTTTCAATAGACCAAAATGTGCACTGTTTTCTCCCAAATGCCTCGCACTGGGTTTTCTTGAATTCAGGAGTTCTACACGGACATGATTTGATCACTTCTGCATCTTTGTCTTCATCCAGCATTGTTTACTGAAGGATATTCTTAATATTTCACACTATGTATAACATTCACACTCGTACGACTAAAGAACTGTGTGAGAAGTGGTGCGCTGTCTTTGTGTGCATTCTGATTTTTTTTTTTTTTTGACATTTTAAGGGTTCAGCTGTTTGAATCGAGGCTGTAGGAATTACTAGTGATTTATGGATGAGGCTCTCTCACTTGCACTAATCACAGTTCATGGCTTGTACAGTGTTGTTCAGGTGGGTTCAGGGAACACTTCATTTTCAACTGAGAAAGACACTGTGTATGTTACGTCATACTACATGAGAGAGAATCAGTTCAGGAAGGTGGGCAACCATATGTGCTCTTTTTCCCAGACATGTCCTGGACCGGGATTTCTCAATTAAAATGCCTGGTTCTTTGTTTTCCTATTGTTGTCATACTTGCTGAAGGTAATGACTGAAAAGTAGTGGTCCAGGCATTGGACGTAATCGACCAGTTGTGGCGTGCAAGAAATGGGATCTACAGAGAAGTCAAAGCAATGCAAATATGCATACATATGATGCATGAGGGAGCGTGTAGAGAGCGTGTCAAATGGAAAATAAAGCCAAAACCCAGAAATTTTAGACAAGTTTAGAAATCCCAACCAGAAAATGCCCAAAAGAAGAAAAAAAAAATAGGATGTACCGTCACCCTATGGGAGGAAATTCTTGACCAAACTGATAGTTTGCAGGTTCACTGTCTCTTTAACACATTCTGTTGTGGAGCAGACTGTGTCTTTCCAAGTTTGATTCAAACATTCACTCCGTTTTATGACCGTCTTGAGTCAATAGATTCTCTTAGCATAAACCAAAAAGATTTACATTTTTCAGTTTATGCTTATGTATATCAATAACACATACCTGTTCATTTCTAACAGTATGGACTTATTGCACCAGAAGCTGAACTGGTTTTTTTAAACCTGTATATGCACAGTTATATAGTAGTGTGTCATTTGTATTTGTATTTCCATCCATGAAGTGATAATGCAGAAACACATGAGTGTTACTGATGAGACATCTCCCACTAAGAGACGTTTCTGCGCAAGTTTACTTTTGTGACGGCACACCCCTGCAACAAGGACACTTATATACACACCTGGATCCTTTTTGAAATTCAGATTCAAATGTGGTGGAGAGACACAGTTGAACTGATTCTATATTATTATTATTATAATTATTTTTTGTTGTTGTTGTTTCTTTATAATGTCAATGTTTTTGACTCCACTGCAACAAGTGAAAAGCACTTAATCAGCGAGTCTGAATTCAAATACACTAACCGTAAAGGTTTGTTTTGTTAGTTTGAGCTGTTCAATAAAGTTTTAACATTATTCATGAAGCTGATACCTGTTTTCTTTTTAGTCTATAAAACAAAACGTACATAAAAACGTTGATGGCTGATGCTTCCTCTTCACGACCGTAATCTCAATAAAACTAATTTATATGTCTGGTGTGATGTGAGAATCAGGACTGAACCGAAATTTGATTTGATGACATTTAGCAAGTGTTTGCATTTCAATTCCCAGCGTGAAGAACAAAGTACAAAACAGTTCAATAAAATAAAGGTTGGTTATTTTTATTTTTAAGAACGAAATGTGAAGCATGTTAAATTCATCCAAACATGTAATAATGAGAGTATCTAAACAGCTATCAATACAGGTGCTCAGTGCTGTAATATGTAAGGCACTTTTTAAGACTTGCAACCCTGAGGTCAGATTATTCGACTGAATTAAAGTGTACATTTTCTGCAGGTGCAGGGACCTTTCCATTTTCAGTCATTCATTTTCTTCTGTGGTACATGCAAATACACTATACTTAAACTTCATAGTGCACATATTTGAACATTAGTGAGGTTCATGACATCAAGAGAAAGGATGAACTTCCCCTCTCTCAAGACAATTGTACAAGCTTACTGCATAATTCCACTGGATTCTCAGTCACAACTATATAAATGCTTGGAAATAAAAAAATAAAAAAAAAACTACTCTTTTAGGTTTATGTAAGGCACTTTTTAAGACTTGCAACCCTGAGGTCAGATTATTCGACTGAATTAAAGTGTACATTTTCTGCAGGTGCAGGGACCTTTCCATTTTCAGTCATTCATTTTCTTCTGTGGTACATGCAAATACACTATACTTAAACTTCATAGTGCACATATTTGAACATTAGTGAGGTTCATGACATCAAGAGAAAGGATGAACTTCCCCTCTCTCAAGACAATTGTACAAGCTTACTGCATAATTCCACTGGATTCTCAGTCACAACTATATAAATGCTTGGAAATTAAAAAAAAAAAAAAACTACTCTTTTAGGTTTTATTCTTTGATTGAATAATGACTCTCGTGGAAACATTTTTGAAATGTTCGTTTTGATGCATAAGTAGATGCGTTGGATGCTGACATTTTTTTTCAGTGCATAGATTTAAAGCTACATCAGTCCTTTGGCTTATAACAGTCTTGAAGACTTTCCACTCAAGCCTCAGGTCCCTGCTCTTGACCATTACTTCTACTTAAATTAGCATAGCAATCTAACATTAAAACAATACTAACTAACTAGGCTACATATTAATCACATCCAACTTACAAACCAAAAAAATCTAATCTTAAAGCAGTATACTGAATTGTGTTAATTTGTCTTACAGAACAAATGTGCAACATACGCACAAAATACAATGTCTCTTGGTTGGTAGGAAAGGTGAAGGGAAAAAACTGCTGCACACATAAATTATCCTGGATCACAAATCTACAACAACTGCAACATTCAGTATTTAAAGTAATAACAGTAATAATGTAACACTGCAAAACGACTGCTCATGTAAGTGGTTACATGACGTAGACGAAAACAGGCAAGAAAAGGCACTTTCAGTAACAGGTCTTAACAGTGTAGTATAGTTTTAAGAGTAAGACAAGACAAATACACAAGTATTTGTGTAAGTGCATTGTAATCATCCCTTATGCTAATTTTCATTGGCAGCTTCAGATCAGCTTTGGCTTTACTTTTGTCCTCCTGGGATCATTTGATCAGATGGGTAAAATACATTTTTTAATGAACAGATTAAAAAAATGCGGAAAAACGTTCTCATGTGGCATTGTTTGTATTTTTTTGTATTAAAAATCTATTTTTATCACAATGTTTTATGATTTAGATTATATAGAATATTCAATATTCTGTTGCTTAAGGTTCTGATATGCCACCAACATCACAGTTTTACTAAAATACAGTTGAGAGAATTTAAAGCTTTTCTGTGAAGTAATTACACAATATTAGGATGCTGACTGGACTGATACAGTAGCCATCCATTAGAAGGAGTTCGCTTTCAAGTGGATTCCATTCGGTGCCTTCATTTGCTTTATGATTTACTCATGTAAAATGCACCATTGAAACATTTGCTGCACAACAGACATTACATATTTCAGTTAACACATAACTATATTTCAGTAAAAAGCATCAGAAAACTGAACTGAAAGCTAAAAACAGGTGGATGATATATGTCAGCTCACACTCAAAGTGTATGTCCGTCAGTGTTGCCATGAATTGATCTACTTTCATACTGCTGCCGTGGACTGGTTTTTTTTTAGTCCGCGAAATCCCACACCCCCCCCGGAACGAGATTTCGACCAAGGTGGGACTCCCTGGAAGCAGGGTTTTGACCACCTAAAACACAACTAGGTTAGTTTTGGCTGTGACTGGGCTAGTTTTGTTATGCAGACCTGGCAACCCTGATGTCTGTCAAAAGCTTTTATAACGTCATAAACTGCCATGAGATGAATCTTAATCGTACCTCCTCCTTTCTCTCTGCTCTTCCCTTTAGTGACAGTTCTGGCATTTTGGATGGCATCTCTGTTTGTTGACATTGCAGCGGCAGCCTCCACTTGTGTCTCCAGGACCCTAAAGTGAGAAAGACATGAAGTTCTGTTTCCAACTAATAAATATTAACAATTAACAATGGTTTTGAAAAACGCATTTTTAGGAATCTGTAGGTTGTTGTATTTCTGGCTTTGTATAACTGTTGTATAACATTAAAAACGATGACCTTTCCTTGCGCGTTTTCATAAAGAGATGATACCCAATGGAGCAAGAGAGAAAAGCTTATATCCCAGTCTTGTGAAAATGCTCTTACTTTGGGCCCCCAGCGTGGTCCTCTGGTGACCCAGCAGATCTCAGTGTGGCAGACAGTACAGCGAAGCCAGTCACAGCCCTCCTTCTTCTGCACAATGATGCCGCACTGAGGGCAATGCATCGCCTCTCCAGAATTAACAAGAGTCTGTGTGAGTGATGGGACAGAAAGTTTGGGGTAAATAATAATAATAGAAAGAAAGAAAGAAAGAAAGAGAAATTGATCAAAAGTGACAGTAACATTCTGTTCATGTATGAGTGATAGAGGGGAAAAAAAACAATAAAAAGAGAGATGAACATTTATAACTTAAACTTTCAACTGCAATTATACAGTGGGTTTAAAAATATGTGATCTGCTAAACACCAAAAATGTGTCTGAATATTAGAATGACAAGAGTAAGGAACAGGATGTTGTCACATGACAAAGGGCCTTTCCTAACATGAGCTTTGATATACAAACAAGGATTTGTTTGTGTTTGACCTTCAGCAGGTCTCTGGTTCTTCGAGCTGCAGAGTCATCGATGGCGCGAGCTGTTAGATCATCCTGATACTGCTTACAATTCATCCCTTCATGAATGGCCTAAGCAGAGGAAAAAAAGCCAAAGTCCTTTACCTTATATTATAATGAGAACCTAACAGAGAAAGAAAAACCTAGATGTAAATGTCATTGTTTAAGGGTTCAGTGTGTTTAAGTATTCTACATACTTTACCTTGCAGAGCAGGCAGTTGTGTTTTCTGCACACTGGGCAGTGGAAAGTGTTGACAGTATCTTCATAAACACACCAGCCGGGACAGTCTGCTGTAGCACAGTGATAACTGCCCTCACATCGAGACTCTGCAACAGACAGACCCCTCTGCAACCAGCGCTCATAATCGTCTACTGACACCAGCTGAGTGAGAAAGATAGCATTGCCAAAAAAATGCAAAGCATAAATTAGTTACTTGTACTCATTCAATAAATCACTCGTTAGATTCCTATCTGATGTTATACAAAACCAGATAAGTACATTATTAGGACAACAGCAGCCCTAGAATTTAGTAGGGTTATTATAGTTAACAATAATAAATCAATTAAAAAAATAGAAAAAGACCCCTTAAACTTATCTTTTTCAGCAAGCTGTCAAGGAAACATTTCTCATTTTCATTTAGTTTAACTTGATGTACTAAAATAACTAAAACTGAAATAAAACCGAAAAATTAAAATGATAGAGACATTTAATAGAAATATTAGGGCTGGGTAAAAACTATCGATTTCTCGATTTTAATCGATTCTCATTTTTACGAAGTAATATTGATTCTTAAATCCCAAGAATCGATTAGTCTAGTCTGTTTTCGGTTAATGAATGGAACACTGTAGCATGCCTCCCATCCAATAAATCGCAATAAGCTTTGTGCTTTGTTACTTTTGATATTAAATAAAGTCTCGTTTCAAATTCTGTCCATTTTATTACAATATTCAAACAGATTCAAATATATATATAAATTATAATGGTATATATAGATGAGGCTACAAAATGACTCCCTACAGTGAGTTTTGACAGCACAGGTCATTTTAGCCAATAGCACTGTCACTGAAAGCCTTTCAGGGCATCATTGCTCCAGGTCTTCTGTCAATTGTGCTCCAGCATCATGGACAATGTCACAACAGCAGAGTGAGAGAATGACATATAGCTACAGACACTCCTCAGTGTGTGGATCTAGCCAGAATAGACTGGTGTAGGTTTGTAGACAAAATAAAAGCGGTATGAATGAATGAGTTCTCACAGCTCTGATTTCTCTTTCCTGCAAGATGCAGTCGCAGGCGTAGGCCTCGTCTCTGTATGGACATGCCACCTGAGGATCCTCTGACATCAGAATCACAGAGCGCAGACACTCTCTATCCATAGAAACACAGAGGGTTTTCTTAACTACTGCATGGCAATACAGAACACTAAATATCACTATGTACTGTATGTGCTACAGCAGCACACTCTCTGTCTTCCTCACTTGCAGAAGAAGTGGAGACACTCTCGGAGCAGGACTCCCTCGCCAGGTTCAAGCACCACATAGCAGATCCTGCACTCCACTCTGTCTGGGTTAGGAACCAGATCCTGTCCGTCTATCCGCACCAGACGTGCAAAGTTCTCTCTGCGTTCTGCTTCTCTGGCCTACAGACACAGAGAGAGTAGCTGTCAGAACTAAAGCAGCAGACATGGATGGGCATCCATAGATAGACTATGTGAGGAAAACACACTGCATGTGCTGTTACTTCTGACTGTGTCTTGAAGACTAATGTGACAGGAACAGGGTCTAAAACCTACAAGATCCCAATGGCATTTCTGAAAATTCATTAGTTTAAATTAGAGTTTGTGTCTAAATGTGCACACATTATAAATTTGCCTTTCAAAACAAAAAAAGCATGTGTAAACTTTTTGAATTGGATGATCAGGGTAAATTGTACTTATTTTGTCTTCTGGGAAACATGTATGTATTTATGTAGCTTCTGAAGTGCAGTACTAAATGAAAAAAATATGACCTTTAATCAAAATAAGAAAAATGTACACATCCTGTTCAAAAGTTTGACTGATTTTTTTTATATATATATACTATATATATATATATATATATATATATATATATAAAAATGTTTACCTATACATAAGTAAAGTAAAAAAATTGTACTTATTTTGTCTTCTGGGAAACATGTATGTATTTATGTAGCTTCTGAAGTGCAGTACTAAATGAAAAAAATATGACCTTTAATCAAAATAAGAAAAATGTACACATCCTGTTCAAAAGTTTACACCCACTCCCCACCCCAGTTGAACTGCTCAGGACCAACAAGGGACTCATGAACAACTAACACAAAACAAAGTCGTGGATCATCCAGGAAATGACACACAGTATTAATATCCAAGGTTATGTAAACTTTTGAACGGGGCCATTTTTATAGATTTGGTTATTATTTTGTCTTGTGGAGTGTATATAAACATCCATTATGTGAAATAGGTTATTCAAGACAGTACTAAATAAAAAAAAATAACATGCAATTTTCATGATCCCTCTTATTTTGTGAAAATTATTAGCATTTTGCATATTCTTCAAGGAGTATGTAAACTTATGAGCACAACTGTATATATATGCTAATAACAGTACATGTAGTTAATTAGAATGACTAAATACATGAACACTATAAAATAAAGTGATACCCAAATTACATAACTGCAATCACTTACCTTACACGTTTAAACTGATCAACCATATTATATAGTTATAATTACAACAAAGTAACAACATAAGGCTTTTAAATGTACCAGAACTGTATTACTTATATTCAGTGTATGCACACATACATAAAAAAAAAAAAAGTCAAGACACCCAGGTGTGAATGTTATGTACCTATTAAAAGACCTTTATTTGAGCTTGCCACATAGTTAATTTGCATAGCCATTTGTCTTTTTTAAATTCAAGGCTATTTTACACACGAGCTAACATGGAAGAATGAAGCCCAGTCATACAGACAAACAAGTTATGCTACATTACATACATTACTAACTGAACTGACCAAGACATGTCTTCCTGTTTCTTTCCCTCTCACACTGGTTAGGCCTATTCATCGTTTAGCAGATGCGTTTTATCCATAATGCACTAACTGCCAGTCTTGATAGAGTAACTCTGGGTTAAATGCATTGCTCATGGGCACTGTGGTAATTACTAAATGCTCTTTCAGCATATTGTTGTCAACTAAAATATTATGAGCAGTACGAGCAAAAAACGCTGTCTACAACATTTTCACCAAGTTAAGTCTTTATGCTCGAGTGCAAAATTCTGTAGCAGAAAACATGTATACAACATGTTTTCTTAGCATGCATTTATGAGTTTGGCCCAACACAGTCAAAGGTCTTTGCAAAACTGTCCAGACAGATCTCATGAGAAAACAGCTATTTAATAAGGTGGAGATTTTGTATGAATTTGTATGACGTGATTCAAAGCAAGCATGAAGGTCCACCCCTAAACCCAACCGCCAGTGGGAAATATGCATGAAAACGTACAAATAATTTCATACAAATTAGCCACCAATTCGGCAAAATGTAAAATAGTTGCACGGTCTTATGACACAGGCTTTACACGTCAGACACCATTTACATGAACTATTTTTGCCTCTCTTCATTTCATCTTACAGTTTCAACATCAATGCAAAATTAATGTTGCTTTCGTGTGAACAGCTGCAGTCTGCAATGATGTAGGATAAGGTAAAAGTTGGTGTTTAGTTTAGTAAACAAAAAGTGCATTGATGGATGATCCATCACAAAACTCAGTAAGTCCTTCTGCACTTAAAAAAGATTCTGGGAAATTTTTATAGTTTCAGGGATCTATAATCTCTGAACTGAAACTGTCACTTCAAATAAATCCAAGACTAAAATCTTGAATATATGAGAATTTGAAACTATTTTACAAGATACTGTCAGACAAGATCAGACTGAACTTGTATAAAACAGGTTACGTAAATGGATGCTCTACATTCCTGCAAAAGCTGTGCAGTAGGAGTCATTTCTTACATCTACTTACAAAGATATACAGTATTATATGTCATCTGGTTGAGGCATCTGCACATTAAAAGAGTCTGTACCTGAATAAAGTTTTAAACCAAGACAATGTAACAAAGCTTTTTATTAGACCAAGTGAAGTAATGGTATCATAGATGTCTTTGCCATTAATATTATAAAAATGACTTCCTGTACTACTATTGCAGTGTTCAATTATAAAGGTGTTATTGAAATGGGTCTAAATATGTAGCTTTTGTAAGTGGTCTAAAAAAAAGTTGCATTTGAATAGATGAGGTTGGCATGAATCAAATTCATTAACAGTGAACTGTTCAGGCATATATAAGTTGTGCAGTATACCAGCTGTACTGTGGTTGAATTTGGAGTATGAGTGCGCCTGGTTTGTTAGAGACTATGCACTGAGAGTGTGTGTGCACGCATGAATCAGTAGTCCTGGTCGAGGTTGTGCAGTAGTGAGTTGTTGCCCCTCAGCTCCTCTCTTCTCCCTTTCTCCTTAAAAAAAAAAAATAGAGACAAAAGAGAAGAGATTCAGACTGAGGAGTCAATCAGAACTCAGGCTTTATCCTACCCAAAAAAAAAACCTTAGAGATGAGTGAAAGTAGCTCTTTAATAGTGGTCAGCTGTTATGGGTTTTTTAATGATTGATGATTTTTAATGATAAGTCACCAATGGCTAATATAATACTGATGTACTAAAAAAAACATTTTAAATGGTAACAAATTAGATGCATAAAAAATTTAATTAAATGAAAGCTTATATTTAATATTATAAAGCCATCATGAAATGAAAATTCAGTCTATTTTCTAAATGCATGTTATAGCTCTCATTGTGAACGATTTGTATGTTTTTCTTTTTTTAACCTCATAATTTTTAATGTACATATAACTAGATCTTCCAGTAAAAATGACTTCTGCCTCATTTTTTCTTTTTCAATTATCTGTTACACTCAGACATACGTCACAATATGAAAGAAAAGTTCTGTCACTACTAAAGTTACCACAACTTTATTCAAATTCACTACTACATTTTGAAAAAAGGCTATCAGTAAATTTTGAAACCGACAATACCGTTTAACAGCCAATACTAATATTCTCAAAATCGCTAAAATTCTATCATTCATTCTCATTCAATTTATATGAATACAAACCAAATTACTATGCCGACCTGAGGATTTTGTCCTAAACCTGGGTGTGAGCGTAGATGTAAAATGGTAGGTGTGCATGAGATGTATAAGCCAACAGCAAAAGCAACATGCCAGTCTCATCTGTTCCCAATGATTTCCACAAGCATCACAACGAAGTGGAATATTCCAGTGGTAGCAGGCAGAATTATTGTACAAAATGTGCTTATGCTTTCTCAATTGAATTTCATGAGCCTCACCTGTTGGTACTGCCTTATTGCTTTTTTTTCCTGTTGAATGCGTCTTAGCTCCACAGCATCTGGTCTGTAGTTGCCGGGAACAGTGTAGCCTTCAGGTCTGTCTGCGCTACACATTTCACAGCCGGGACGTGTCGGTTTATTAATATATGTACAGGTTGGGCAGGACCATCCCAGCTACATACCCACAAAAACAAGTATTTAAATAAGCACCATAATCTCATTATGTGTGTATATCTATGTATTTGCATACTGGTTGCTTTTGTGAAACATTTTCTGTTTATGTATTTCAAATATTATCAAAGGCTCAATATCGTATAAAATGTGTGCCCTTAATGTTAAAGAAAAACTTGTTTGTGTGTGCACATCATTTTGTACCTGTGTGCTTGTTCTGTTGGACGCCAGGGCTTCATTCAACTGCGGCAGCTCAAGGTTGATGAGGTCACGAATTTCACCCAAACCTAACCTCTCTGTACCTCCCGCACTGTCACCTGAGAGGTCAAGAGGTCATAGTTGTAATAATCAAGTTATAAGACACAGTTGCTAATTGTGCAATGCTTTAAACAAAGGATAATTGAGAATAAAGTGTTCAGTTTAGTAATTTCTAATAATTTATCAGAAATATTGAGATTTAGCAATTTAAAAACTGGAGGCAGAAGGCATGACTTTTAAATATGAACTGTTTGTGGTCTGTGTGTAAACGCATGTTATGACTTTGACTGGTGGCCTTATTAGAGACTGGGAATACACACTCAGGGTATTATGGCTGTTATGAAGTCTTGTAGGCAGGGTGCTGTATGGTCTTGAGGCTGTGTTCAGTGTTGGCCCATTGGTAACTGCTTCTTGGTGGGGCTGATTAGTCGTTGACACCAAAGCCGGCATGAGCAAAGCACTTTCCTGATCTTGTTGGTAAAGCCCGTGACTGAGACGGGCCTGACGGGCAGAAATTAGATAAAGGAACGCAGTGTCGCCATCTTGCTGAACTCCGTAAGAAGCCAGAGAGCGGTGATCAGAGCACAAAGACTGGCCAATGACCCAGCGTTGCACGCGCGGATGAAAACCATAGTCTGTGAAGACCTTAAATAGCAAAAACTGTGCCATTAACAAAACTAAATGATAACTAAGGTATTTGTCAGAATCGCATGGCACTGAAAGAATGACAAGAAATAATGTTTATTTGGTTAATGTTAATCTGCACCTACCTGCTGTTTGAGAGCACCAATTGTGGAGTGAGGGATGACTTTCACTGTGACACAACAGGAAGAGGATGCATCTTCTACTACCACAGCCAGGCTGCATGATAAATCAATGCATTAGCTGAGATCAGAATTGTCAAAATGTGTGTTGACTTGGCATAAATTATAATTCACTTTCTTCTGTGGAACATAAAAGAAGATAGTTTGTCCATTCTGCAGTACAGTATCTTCTTTTGTGTTCCACAGAAGAAATAAAGTCATACAGGTTTGGATCAACATTAGCATGCATTTTTTTTGATCACTTGCTGCTTTCTGTCTGGTTAGGACACATTGTTAAACTGAGTGGGTGAGTGTCTGTAATCGTGAAATTTACCTAATTTCAGTGTCTGTGTAATTTCGTTTAGATGGCTGAATGCTCAGAGCAGCTTTCTGTTTGGCTAAAGATGATGCACAGACATATGCCGCCCGAACATCACCTGCCTCTATTGCGCTAACCAGCTCCGCACATATCTCTTCTAGAGAGAAAAGTAGAAAGGGTGAAAATGTATAAGGACAAGAATGAGAAAGTTGGATGGTTAAGGAGTGCGATAGAAGGAAGAATCGGAAATGGAAGGAGAACAAGTGGGTGAGGCAGAGATATTTGCATCAACATAATAGACAATTGACACTTTGTTTATTGTTTGGCAGCTGATCGGGAACAGAAAATTAAAACAAGGGCACAATTGCTTACCTGTGCGTGGCATGGGCGCACTGCTCTGCGTATCCAGAGGCTGAGGAGGTAGCTGTCTTTCTTCAGTGGAGGAACAAATCGCCACTGAAAAGATGAGCAAGAGACACAGTGGTTTAAAAGCCCCGGGGGAAAAAAAAAAAAGTAAAAGTCAAAGGAAAAGCAAAGTCAGTAGATAAAACTAGAGAGAGATATTTGCATCAACATAATAGACAATTGACACTTTGTTTATTGTTTGGCAGCTGATCGGGAACAGAAAATTAAAACAAGGGCACAATTGCTTACCTGTGCGTGGCATGGGCGCACTGCTCTGCGTATCCAGAGGCTGAGGAGGTAGCTGTCTTTCTTCAGTGGAGGAACAAATCGCCACTGAAAAGATGAGCAAGAGACACAGTGGTTTAAAAAAATAAGTAAAAGTCAAAGGAAAAGCAAAGTCAGTAGATAAAACTAGAGGTAATAAACAATTAAGCCAGGTGCACACTATACAATTGTAGCGGTGGCGGGCCCAAAGAAAATTTAATCAGTAGATTAGTAGATCATTATCGAGAGTGATACGACGCATGCGTTGTTTACGAGCAGAGAAAAGCACACGCATGCGTCGTATCACTTTCGATAATGGCAGTAGATGGTAACTAGGGGAAGAAGAATTGTTAAATAAAGTCGTTATTTTTTTATTTCTTTGCGTATAAAAAGTATTCTCGTAGCTTTGTAAAATTACGGTTGAACCACTGATGTTACATGGACCATTTTAACGATGATCTTACTATGTTTCTGTGCCTTGGCTGTGGTAGTCACCTTGCTGTCTATGGAGGGTCAGAGAGCTCTCGGATTTCATCAGAAATATCTTAATTTATGTTCCAAAGATGAACAAAGACCTTACGGGTTTGGAAAGACATGATGAGGGTGAGTAATTAATGACAATTTTCATTTTTGGATGAACTATCCCTTTAAAGAGAAGAGCTCCATATAAAAGACACAGACTGCCCCGTCTCAATAGTGTAATGCTGACTACCTTGCAGGCTTCAAAACGCTCAGCGTTACGAGTGCATTGTCAGAACACTCCCTCAGACCATTCGCACTGTAATGTTATCTGGCACATTGGGACTGCTTCAACTATGGTTGAAAGTGTGCGTTCCTGTGCGGGCTCCACACTTGAGCTTAACGTGCATCTTGGCGACTCACAAATGCCTAGAAGCGCTGGCCCTCTGGGGAAGCACAGCTTTTTACGACAGCAGCCTTGTGCGATGGTTGCCCAGAATTCTGTGCCTGGACAGACATGGAGAAAAGGTACCTGATGACCTGCCTGGATCTGCCTGGTACTCGGAGCAGTTCACCTGTTTCTAGGTCCATCACAAGCATGTTCTCATTCGCATGGACAACATGGCGGCCATGGTGTTCATAAATCGCCATGGTGGATCCCGTTCTCACCCTCTTCTCATGCTCGCGACGAGCCTGTAGACGTGGGCAGACCAGCACCTCCTGTCTGTTGAATTGTCTGTATCCCCGCCATCCCAAATCGCGGGGCGGACATACATTGAGGCACAAGGCACACGCAGCCCTGGTTCTCGGGACCTGAATGGCTAATTTTATTGAGGAGAGATCCCCTCTCTCAAGTGAGCGACTTAAGTCTGGCATCCAGCACAGACTTATGGAATTTGCGTGTCTGGCCACTCAACGCAGTTTGCCGACGTCAAACTCACTGTCACAGCATGTGCAGAAGACATTTAGAGGCGAGCGCACTGTTTACTAGGCATCTCTACGCTCATAGGTAGAGAGCCTCGGAAAATTGTTGCACTTCGAAAGGCCAAGACCCTGTCAACTGCCCGTTTTTAGTAGTTTTGTCTTTTCTACAAGTGTTCTGATGACGGCCGTATGCTCTCCACGCTCAAGTGTATGTAGCTGTCATATCAGCATTCATTCTGACATTGATAGGTTGTCAGTGGGAAGTAATGATTTAGTGATTAGATTTCTATGGGGCGCGAGGCGGCTGCAATTGCTGTGATATTGTCTATGACAGCTGTTTTCTGATAGTTTTGAAGTGCTGCGTCTCACCGCTTTATATCTCGCCGTTGTGTGCACGCACATACAGCAGTTCAGTAGACCCACCCTCCCTCTCCGAGCTGTCCGCAACATCGAGAGACTAACTCGAAAGGGAACGTCTCTGGTTACTGACATAACCTTGGTTATGTTCATGCCGTATTACTTGGGCTCAGGTCTTTCATAAGCTCTCTTATTCAGTCAACAGATTCTGATGAAATGCCGCTCAGCGCCGCTTATATAGGGCGCTTTACCGTCCCCTTTTTTGCCATTGGCCATTGCAATGCAATGGCGTTAAGCGATTAAGGCTTCAGTATTTGAGGAGAAAGGTGTTTCCCCAAAGCGTCAGCTTATGCTGTACGCAACATCAAGAGACCCTCTCGAAAGGGAACAAAGTGCAGTAAAGGTAAAAAATAAATAAAAAATAAATTAAAAAATGTGCTACAAACCAGCCTGTTTGTGATTATGATAATACATTAAAACAATAAGATATCAAACACCAGTTTGCAACAAGCAGCATACCAAAGTGTTTTTGCACTGGTAAAATCACTGGTAACATTGCACATTCAAGACTGATTTTACATTAAAAAAAAATTTTTTTTTTTTTGATAGTCCACTTTCTACTAACTTTGCAACTACATGTCAACTAGCAGTCATTAGAGTATTAGTAGGCTGTCTGCTTAAAATCTGCTAACACTTTATTTAGTACATTCTACTAACTATAACTTTGCTAGTATATACCAACTTAATGTTGGCCGCTTATATAGGGTTCCCCCCCCCCCTTGCATATATGTGTTTTTAATGAGTCTTGACTGTCGTACAGTCTGAATTAATGACAATTGAGACCCCAGTGTAACATGGCTTATAGCTGGGCTCATGTTTTGTCCAGTCTGATAAGCAACAATTGTAATAGACTATTTTAAATTGTCCAGTGTGTACCTGGATTTATAAAATGAATGAATGAACAAAAGTGACAAACTGCTGGATGAAAGAAGAAGGAGGCCAAACCTCTGTGTGCCTCACGGAGTGATGACATCACCACAGTGGCCCACTCCTGTGCTTCCTGCTCACAGCGGAAGTTGAAAGTGATACGATCGTGTGGTGGTGTTGCCAAACTCAGTTCATGGCACTGTGGGGACTTGACTTCATAGAGAACAGTCTTGAGGTCGAACTCAGCAATGGACTAAATGAAAATAAACAGAGAGACACAAAAACTAATGTTCATTTACTTTAACATAATTCAGTGATTTCACTACTAAAATAATACAGTCCAGGAAATATCAATTTCTCACAAGCAAATAAATGACCTAGCCTATTTAAAACTTACCATCGACTAACTTTTTTATCAGCTAACTACTTTTTTCAGTATTATGAGCTATCAGATATTTTCAATAAATTGTTATTTTTTAATCTGATTATATTCATCATTGTGTACACAAGAGCTATCTTTTCAAAACAACATTATCAGGAGTGTGAGTGTAATGAGATTTCAAAATGATAGCAGGACTCAAATGTGAAATAAAATAATTTTATATTATTTCTGTTTGGGATCTCAAAGACCCTGGGTCTGTATGAATATTCACTTGCTACAAATCTTGCACTACCTCTGGATACATAATCGGTCATAATGTACCCAAATATTACAATCCTAGACAACAACCACATTTTTGAAAGTGCATGTCTACTTTGTTGCAAAACAAAAGGATAAAGAAGTAAATATTAAACATATTTGAAATGAAATAATAAGTTGAAATTTTTATTAGGGGTCCAAGTACCGAAGGTGCCGGAACTCTATTGTATTTGTACAGATTTTTAGGGGTTCAAGCACGAAGCGCTGAAACCCTATTGTAATTGTAAGGATTTTTATTATTAGTGGTTCAAGCGGGAAGAGAATATGGGGAGACATCGACAAGGTATGGCCCCGATTGGCCAATACGGAGCGCTACAGTGATTGAACACATAGACCGTTTGTTGTAGAGTCAAGTGTCTTATATTACTGTAATCCTTGGCTCAAGACAAACAAAATGGCTTTCTCCGATTTCATTTTCGTCATTAAAATTTTCCCGCCATTTTGGATTTTCTGAAAAATCGACTTTTTCGAACTCCTCAAAGGCCTCTTGTCCGATTCACTCAAAACTTGACATGCATCATCTAGAGACCCTCATGGCAAAAAGTTATCAAAAACATTTCGATCTGTGATTCACACTTGCGACAGGATGCCAAAACATTCGAAGTAGGCAGGGCCACTTTTACTAAAATGGCTATAACTCTTGAATGGAATGAGATAGTTTCACCAAACTCAGAACACATATGAATTAGCTCAATCTTTGAACAAATTAAACGAATTGGGAAGTCTTAGCAATTGGTGGCCCTGTAACAGGGAAAAAACATGAAAATGGCTGTAACTATGCAACTGTTAATCTGATTGACTTTAAATTTGGCACACAGTGTCTTTTCAAGGTGCCATCGACATCTATGAGGGCATTGGCGTATCTCGAAAAACATGGCCGCCATCGGCCATTTAAGTTTGAGAACCCATTAGACAAGGTTAACGGAGGCCGATCGTAACAAAACTCGATGGACCTGTTTGACTCATTTCCCTAGAGGTCTGAGAAATTTGAAAGAAATCAGCCACTAGATGGCGATATCAGGTTTTACGCATTCTATATCAGTGTTTCACACGTACACACATTATTCATATAATATGTTAGATTTCCTCATTCTGAACGACTTTGCCTTTAGAACCACTGCTGTCAATCAAAGACTGAATAAAGACTGAATATATAATCATAAAGTAACATCATCATAATGCAAGAAGGCCTACACACTTCCAAATGACAACAAACTTTTAATTTTTAAGAATATTTAGATCATGGAAATTAAGTATCAAAATATTAGATACCTTAAAAACCTGAATAAATAGTAAATAAACATTTTCTAACAAAAAGTGCAAAGTAACAATTAGAAAAAAAGAAAAATGCACAAAGAACTTGTATAAAGATTTTTCCCTGACCTTCTTTTCTCTGTAAATTAAGGGTGCACACTATTGCTGAAAAGCACAATCACTACTTAGCAGTCAGATGTCTGTATGCACAAAGGCACAGATCCCTAAACAAGACCATATCTGCAGATTAAACTTTTTTTGTAGAAGCATTTTTTAAATTTGAACTAGCACCTCATGACTACACCACATCATGTATGATAAGCTGCAAAAGACACAGGCGCAAGTGGAATGTACAAAACATGGTGACATTCATTTTTAAGTAAATATAATGGGCGATATATTGCGTCACCAAAACTTATTGAGGTCATGTACATATATTGCGCGATATATTGATTATTTGCGACAGGCCTACCCAACTGTTCTTGAATAACGCATGAATGAATTTGACGAAGAGCTCGCCAAAGTGGACATGAGGCTATTGCCTTGTCCAAATACCCACACTCACGGTCTTGGCTACTTGAGAACGCGTGCGCGCGACAGGAAGTAAGTGCGCAAAACTGTCCAAGGTCTTAAAAATGCCAAAGCGCAGTGCCCTTAACGCACACTAAATCCACACCATCTCGAATACAGCTCCGGAGTGGTATTCGAGGCTTAGTGTATACCATCATACATAATGTTCTGAAAATAAATCTTGACTTTTCGCCGAGTTCTCGCGAGAGGTCACGGAAACCTTTCCAATGTATGTTAAATATTAATAATTAGATATTACAATTTGGTAGTAAAACACAATTAAATTTGATTTTAAAATGCAAAGTATTGAAAATAAAAATAAAGCTTTGTAAACACTTGCATATTTACAATACTATAAGTGTGTCCCATCAGGTAATGAAAAGTTCTACACACACTTGTGGTCTTCATGCTCACTTGAATACTTGGACCAAAAACAGGAAATATGTCATAAGTAGTCAAAATGGTCAAGTGCAAAGACTGCATGTGTGGGTATTTGGACAAGGCATATACCTCCTCAATGCTTTATAGGATTCAAACCAAACTTGGAATTTGTTATGACAAACATGTCCTGAGGTTACCTGCAAAGTTTTGACACAGTGCCACCTAGTGCTCAGGAGAAATGCCAAAATGGATCTAAGAATGTTTCTCTGTAATTCTTTGGTATATTGGCACCAAAAACTATGTGTGTCATCATCACACCTAGTTCACCAGACCACATTCATTTGGGAGCAGCGCTACCTATTTGGTCAAAATTGATAAATCATTAAATAATATTTCTAGTGATTTTATTTATTAATTTTCAGGCTTTCTGGCTAAAATCATCTTCAAATGTCTATAATTGCTCAAAGGTCTTAAAACACTTGAACCCCGGTAATTGCTGCTTGCACTTGCAGCTATATTCTCCTTCTTATTATTCTTTTTCTGCCCTAAAAGTGTCTGGCCAGCCAAAACCGTAAGTCCTAGAAACACCAAATTTGGCAGGATGATCCCAAATCTCCCCCACTACTCAGATGCCCTGGGTGCTTACAGCAATTTATAAAATGTCAGTCATTAATATCAACGGAAATGAGAGATGAAGGCCGTAATACTAATGTTGTCCACCAGAGGGAGGCACAAAACAACAAATTCTTTTAGATCACAGTTTAAAATCTGTGTAAATGGTTCAATAGATTCAAGGTAGGTTATGTGATTTCAGAAAGGCTAGCAATAGCAATCTAGCTTTGAAAGCAAGGTCCCCACCCTCCCTGCATAATCCCTCTTCAAAGCCACGCCTCCTCCAAAACACATGAACGCTCACAGGCAGACCAGAGGCTAACCAGCGACACGATGAGAGACTGCATTGGTGGAGGGTTGAATGCAACGCTGTCAGATGACCTCACTTCTCATTCATTGGTAAGAAACATTACAGTACAAAGCGCGTAATACTACAATAATAACACCTTTCATTGTCACTGGAACACACTGATGACGTATAATGTCTGAGGTATGCAAAATACATATTTTGACTGGCAGGGGGGACAGCCTATCATAATCTTCGGACCGAACATTTTGATTGGACGAACATTTTATGGTCCTATGCCTTCCACAGATTATATAAATACATAAATAAATTTAGACCACTTAACTTAGTGACTGCTATCGGGATGTTGTGGTAAGTACTGCCGCTCCATAATATAGAGTCCTTGTGATCGCGAATCTCAAAAGTTAAAGTTAAAGTAAAATGAGAGCGCACAATCGAAAGCGGTTTCAATAGCGGCTCCCTGATGCCCACAATTTATATACAGTCGCCTATACTTACCTAACGATATAATTGCAAGAAAAAGTATTGAAATATTTTTTTTATCCTCCCATCTCGTAGGCTATTTATTCCCTTTAGGGTTTCCGTAGTACACTTAATTTCCTTTCCGAACACGGAACTGGGATGTGGCGGATTGCAGGAGAGTCAGCTTAACATCGTGATGTCTGTCAGCCATCGGCGATGGACGATGGCATCGTCTATCGGCCCAACCCTATTCACTATAGTTTCATAAAGTTTAATAAAGGCTAAAACAATCTAAGTCTAATCAGTTTCCAAAGAAATATGTGGTCTCTTAATATTTTATATATCCTGAATTCAGAAAACATTTGTCAAGTTGTCAGACTTGATTGCATATATTGCAGTCCAGTTAAAATGAAGAGACAATGTCTATTGTAATATGGAACATAAAATAAGACTTCCATAGAAAGATTATGTTTGAAAAGAGACATGGCCATTGTAACATAACTGTATCCTCTACACTAGGAGTTCAATTTGACGTCAAATAATAGTCCTCGATGGCACGCCTATAGCCTTGTAGGCAGCGCGCCGACACGGGCGTCCCGAGTTCAAATCCGGCTCGCGGACCCTTCCGGATCCCGCGCCCGCTCTCATTTCCTGTCGTTAAATTGTCCTATCTAAATAAAGGCAAAAACGCCAAAATCAAATCTTTAAAATAAATAGATAAATACAATATTAGTCATTCAAGTGGTAATTGGGTGAAAATTGGAAGTTAATCCCACACTGAAACTGGTTTAATTTATATGTAGGCCAATGTTTGACGTTCAATTTACATCAAATCAACTCCATGTCAAGTATTTGACATCAGTTTGATTCGCATGTTTGACCTGTTTTTTTTTATGTCAATTTTGATGTATTTTCAGCACAACCCCACTGGGTTGTGCTTTTATCCCGATGATCGCCGCTTGCTGCTATATTAATTTTTACGTTTAGGTATACATTCACCTGGGCCTCTGGGACCCCAAACAATAATGAGGTTCATATCAACAGATTCACGTGAGAGGTAGTTTCACTTTCTTTCTATTTATCAGTCTATTACAGCAACTCAAAGTATCCACGCTGATCACAAATATTATTGTGAACTAACTTATAACAAATATGTATAGGCCTAGGTAGCGTGAACAGCATTAAGTGTATTTGTGACAACTCTCAGCACACTATCAAATTTAGGGGGAGGAGGACATCAACAAAGACTAGCAAAACAACGTGATTCACTTGCGTGTGCTCTATGTGAGGCAGAGTGCAGCTATTGTGACTAGCGCAGATACTTCTGGAATGAAAATACTACTATGTTGCGCTTTTTGTCAGCTCTTAACCAGTGTTCAAAGCACCAAAGACTAAAACTTAATGCAAGTTCGACATTTTCTCACCACGCTGCGTCCAGCCGCTGTTCCGCTGATGTCCCGTAACGCGAGGCGGAATTCCCCTGCCTTCCCCGGGTCCATGCTCAGCTGTAGGCGGAGAGAATCGTCTCCGGCCCCGGGGAGACAAAGCGGTCGTATACCTGAGTGGCATACTGACACCTTCACCGACATCAAAACAGTGCTGCAGACCGATTGCGAGGCCTCATGGCCGACATGAGACGATGAAGACTGGGCCGGCGGAGGTGTGTGAGTCCACCCGCCTGAGCTCAGCGACATGCCGCCGCCGACTGACTACTTCAGGCGGGAATGTATCGTGTTGACACTTCAGTACCAGCCGGGTTTGTGTGCTAATATGATGTTTGGAGATATCCTACGACTCCCTGATCCGGACACATACACAGAAGTAGCGGCCTTGTCATCTTTGTTTTAGTTTCTGATGGGAGGGCAGCCCAGCGTCAGAGCAGGAAGAAACACGGCTCAAGCAGAAACAGACATTTTACTCGATGAGAGGCGCTGCGCCTCCTGTTGAAAACATACTCACATACACTCTGCTTTTTTATGTAGGGGATATCCCAATTTTCCATGTCAAGCTTAAATTTCATCTCGTGAAACTGTAACCGTAATGTGACTGTGGTGAGGTTAACTGTCGTTACAGTTACATGATTGCACAAAAATTCTGTTTAGGCTGGTTAGGCTGTGGTTTACTGTGCTTTTATGTTCTTACTATGTTTTAATAAAAAAAAAAAAACACGGTTAAACAATAAGGACTGTAGTAAAATCATGGTAAATATTATTATAAAAAAAAACATTTAAACTATCGCTAATGTAGTAAAACCAGCCATGTCTAACTGGTGTGTTCTGTTTATCCATTTGCAGGCAGGTTAGTTTAAAAAAATGAAACTAGTGACAAAAAATGAAATCTTCAAATGTATTATTTCGAATTTATTGTTTTTTATTTTGATAATTCGAGAAAATGTTCAATGGTGTTTAAATAAATAAATCCTCTTTCTTATTCAGGCACTTTACCCATGAACTAGGCTACGTCCTAATTGTCACATCCCACTAGCAGAGGATCGAGTTACTGCTTAGCATTCTAAACACCTTCTCTGAACATCATAACAGCTTCTAACTATGCATACAACCTAGGCACACAATGCCTAAGTAATCTGTGTTTAAAATATTAGCATTTAACTTTTTTTTTCACTACAAAAAGCAATAAACACTTTGCAAAGAATTCATAAAATAGCCAATTGCTCTCTGGGCGTGACCATTTAGCTATTTAGCATCTAGTACATTTAATTGACAGGCCAAATAGCCAATAGAAGTGTCCACATTATTTTCCTGAGCACACAGTGGGCGTGGTCATAATTGACAGGCCAAATAGCCAATAGAAGTGTCCACATTATTTTCCTGAGCACACAGTGGGCGTGGTCATCATCAACGGTGCAGTGAGCAGTACTTGGAAATATTTCAGACTGCTAAGAGGCGTGGCGTGTACGCTGTGTTCAGAGATAGAGACTGTTGGTTGTTTTATAGCCAATAGAAGTGTCCACATTATTTTCCTGAGCACACAGTGGGCGTGGTCATAATTGACAGGCCAAATAGCCAATAGAAGTGTCCACATTATTTTCCTGAGCACACAGTGGGCGTGGTCATCATCAACGGTGCAGTGAGCAGTACTTTGAAATATTTCAGACTGCTAAGAGGCGTGGCGTGTACGCTGTGTTCAGAGATAGAGACTGTTGTTGGTTGTTTTCGAGATTTTTACTAATTTAAGACAAGAAATAGTAGACGTAATCGTTAGCGAGAAGTCACAATTGCTAGTTTAAGTATCGGTTGATCAAGTCGCGTCATTTAAACCGACGCTTATATCGTTTTCAGAAGGTAATTTTGTTCTAGGTCAAGTAAGGGGATGCTGCTGCTGCAGTCGCTGTCTTGGAGCTCGACACAATCGCTGAAATTTATGTTGCGTTTTTTCAAAATAAGAAGCTTTGTCGTAAGAGAAAACGCCTGCAGAATATGTCAATCTCGACCGAGTCATTTTCAAATCTAATGAATTTGCATTGTACGACGTATTTTATTGCTGTCCCGCACCGCGCGTAGATCCCAGAGCATTTTAGCTTGTATTGTGTTGTTAGCTGGACAACAACTCCGCAAACCGATCTGTCTGAGCCGAACGTAATTTACCTCTCTATTCGCCCAGATTTTTTTATTTGGAAAGTGGCAGTACAACAGTAAAGGTAAGCATTACTATCGATACACTGTGATATGTCGTCAATATTAAAGCATAGCTGGTCAGTAGTAGGTCAGCTGGTGGATGTAAATAATCGAATGCATTTATTCCTAAACCACTTTGCTCTTTCATAATGTAATATTGTCTTATTTGCTATTTTTGCCAGTAAAATATGCCCACTTTAGTCTTGTTTTTGTTTTAACCCCACACGCCCAGGTCGATTTATAAAGTAGGAAGTGCTTTAAGGAGTAGTTGGGGGGAGGGGGTCGACAGGCAGGCAGATGAGCTCTTAAGATAGTCTTTGGTTTTCAGATGTAGAGTCAACAGATAATCCGCCTTTTAATGCAGTTTTATGGGTGGTCTATTGTTTTTGCAACCAATGCAGTAAAAAATAGAAATTATGTATTTATTTAAACGAACATACTATTTTCTTGTTTATACATACAGTTATGCTGTGAATGTGTCCATACGTAAATTTGTTTTTACGTAACGCACTCATTTAACTTTTTAATGTAAATGAGTAACGCTACACGCACCCAACTGTTTCTATTTTGGCATCTCCATTACAGTGTTTCATTTTAACTCGATACAATTAGTTAAAATATCAATAAATTTTGTATGTAGCAGGTTATGCACAAAGAATGAAATACAGATACGTGGCTTCTGTTAAGTGTGTGTGTGTGTGTGTGTGTGTTTTCCAGCTATGAAGCTTTTAGAGAATTCCCGTTTTGAGGCATTGAGCTCCCAGCTGTGTGTTGAAACTGGAGACTCTCACATCTTAGGCAGGTATGAACTTTGGAAATAATGTCAAATGCTTTTTCTTTAAATGTTTTTGAACTCTACGAGTTGTGATTTACAAAAATGTGGGTACCCTGTAAAACCTGGAAATATGAGAGATAATGTAAAGTGTGTTCAGGCTTTGCAAAGTCTTAAATGGATAAGTTTACCCAAAAATGAAAATTCTGTATTATACTCACCCTTATGTCATTCCAAACTTTGACTCTTCAAAACTTTAGTGCTCAATGGATATGCTGATCAATGTTTATATATGAATGAAAGCCTCAATTAAATATGTTCATCATATAAAGTGATTGTGTCCAGGGATTGAAATTTACTTTTTCACTCACCAGCCAATTTGGCTACTACATTTTTAAATTACCGGCCATTCATAACGTCTACTAGCCAAAAAAAAAAGACAGAAATACACCAACCGTTTGAGGCCGTCTACACTGGGCGTGACAAAGCGACCGTTGCAAATCATTTTGTCAGTACTAGGGGTGTGCGATATTGACAAAAAATAATATCTCAATATTTTCTGTGATTTTATCGATAAAGATAATTAGACGATATTTTGCTGAGTGTGTTATTGTGCTGATATCTTAAGGACTACCGTGGACAGCTGACTCCTAAAGTTTTTGATATATTTCA